ACTATCAGTTTACAGTTTCCTATAATTTCGACAGTTATCATTTTTTTTAAATTTCTTGATAGAATAAATTAGCTTCCTTTATTCGATTTCTTTTTACTGGCTGTATTTTTTAAATTTATTTTATCTAATTCTCGCTATTCGTTGCATGTCATAAATTATTTTCTAATGAGGTTTATTTCCAAGTGATGATTGTACATAAATCATGATTTTATATGATTCGCGTTTTGCATATTAAAAAAGCGCCATATTCCTATAGAGGTTTGTAGTGGTTCTTGATGTTTTAGTAACCCAAAGAAAACAAGATTTTTCTTACGAAGTTTTTGCCATTAGGTAATCGAGTTTGAACTCATTTTTTTAAACTTTACTTAGTGCATATTCCTTGCATTCATTCTAGTTTTCCCACAGACCACACTCAACATCAAGGCCTCAGAAACCAGGCAAACCTGTTGCTCTTAGTAAAATATGGGCTTCGATGTAGAAAAGCCCGCTGCGAGTACGATATAGTGGATACGTTTGATTAGATTGAAAACTTCATGAATTATTATTTTTTAATTTTTTTAACAAGATTTTTCTTGTAAGCTGTTCATCGTGAACTTGATAAAATAAAACTGAGCCGACTGTGCATGCAATAGTCTAGTAACAACCCTTACCTAATTCATTACGCATAACCTGCAGATTATTTAAGCTACCCTTTTCGTCGCTTTTTAAGTGAGAACTAGTGGTCGCCCAGAGGTCGAGATTCGACCATTTATAATTTAATTTTTAAGTTTGAACTTCTTTTGTCAAATACTACCTCTATATTTAAAGGTTTCAAAATATATTATATTTATTATAAGATTAAGCTACAGTTTGACCATAAATTTTAATCATGAACAAAAGAGTAAGTATGGTATGTACCATATGGGAGTGTATGTTGTGTGTCATTCAAGCAGTAGTGTGCGTAATGTTTATTTTAATTATTATATTTCTAAAACCTTTAAAATGAAAAAAAAATTAGATTAATGCACTTCTTCTCCACTTAATCTTTAAATGTGTCAAATTTCACGTTCAGCCGTTCGCGCAATTTCCTTAGAAAGGGGTACAAAGTTTTCGCCAATAATATATAGATTACCTTTGATTATGTTTTGAATTGAAGTGTAGATTAGTTGTTTTTTCATTTCAATATTTGCCTTTATGTTAGAGTAAGATTTGAATTTAAATAAAGTTTTGACATTTCCCAGGATTAGGCTCCAAAATCTATTTCATATTATTTGAACTTTAACTCTAAAGAATAATCTTTAATTATCGGAAGTTTATTTGAATGTTGCTTTTATGCTACAACTATGTATATGTGTTTTGTTATAACGTTAACACCCAGCAAACTTAAGACAATTGTTAGAAAACAAATCTGTGCGAAATGAAGAAAAAGCGCACATAGTCTTGCAATACTGTTTAAAATGATTCATTTAACCGTTTTAGTAAAAAAACATTGTAGTTATAACTGTGTAAGTATATGTCGAGTATGTATAACATCCTGGGAATGGCTGTTATTCTTTGTTTATTTATATTATATCCATGTGCATGTTTGTGATATCGTAGTTCCGATACTATAATAATAACTAGCTGACCCGGCAAACGTTGTATTGCAAAACAAAAAAAAATTAGGGATGGGTCACCCTTACCATTTAGGGGTATGGAAAATAGATGTTGGCCGATTCTCAGACCTACCCGATGTGCACACAAAATTTTATGAGAATCGGTCAAGCCGTTAAGGAGGAGTACGGGAACGAACATTGTGAATTTTATATATAAGATATAATATATTCTACCACATACACACAACTGGGTACTAGACAACTGATATAAATACATATATACTTTTTTTTGATACTGCCGTACTAATTTGAATTCCATGTTTTTTAAATAAAAAATCAACACTATCATTATGTGGTTTTAATTAGTATTGATCTCAGTTTATTTAGGTGAACTTATCTCTGGAATTGCCCTTGAGATTAGCAATTATTCTAGTATAAGATAGTCTAATTTCTGAGGAAGATTAGAAATATATACCGGGATGGTTGGCGCTCTTTGCGGGAGGCCTTCGTTCCGCAGTGGACTGGCTGAAGTATTGGTAGTTGCGTATCTTACGACGGGCCTGTTGGTCTAGTGGATAGTGACCCTGACTACTAAGCCGGAGGTCTTGGGTTCCATTCTCACCCAGGACAAATAATTGTGTGATAAGCACGATCATTTGTTATGTGTCTGGGTGTAATTTATCCATCTATAATATGTATCTATTTAGGAATCCATTGGCGAAAGAATTTAAAAAATCGGTTAATATTGGCGTGACAGCGTAACAAACAAACAAACTCACTTTCACGTTAATAAGTATGGATGATTATCAGCAGTCTGGTCACCGTAGCACAGGCTCTCGTGGGCTCTGCCAAGTTTAGAATCAGGCGGCTGTGTGTGAGTTTTGTGAATTTATGGTTGTTATTTTCTTCGGTCGATTTCTTTATGACCTTTAATGACCTTAGCCCTTTTTTCAGTAACCTAGTCAGCCGTTGTTTCAATAAGTATAATGATATACAATTGGACCCGGTAGGTGGCGCTTTGATCCGGTTCTAGTAATTTTAAACTGTTGTATTTTCTTGTAAAGGTTTTGAAAACTTCTTTAGGCGCGTTGGGCATTTTTGAACAACTACGAGTAACAAAATAATGTATTTTTGAGATGGTAAAAAAAACCATTAAACTCGCGACACTGTGACCATTACCGACACCTCTGTATATAGGTATCTACATATTTCCGTTTACACGAGAGTTGAGTTTGGGTTGAAATACATTGATAATATAACTATATATAATATAAACATACATTGGGTAAATACGTACAACATAGATATATATTCATGACGGAACTTTTCGAATCGAAAAAAAAACAAAAAAGCCTGTTATTATAATCAAAAAATATTAAATTTTCAAGTTTTCGCTTGTGTCGCACTCGCCTGGTACTGTTTCTTTGTCAAGCTCACTAGTCAAGCCGAAACAAAATATGAGAAACTGTAAATTCATATTTTTTAACATAAAGAGAGAATCATACTGGATGGTTAACGGTCCGGCCGCTTAAGTTAACATACTAATAGCTGTCGAGCTAAATTAATTTTTTTTTACAATAAAAGCGCCATCTATAGCAATAACCAAGAAACGAATTAGGATAAATACAATAATAAAGAGAATAATCTCTCCTGTTAATGAATAATTATCTAGTATTATTGTTTGCGAAATTTAAAAAAGTATGTTCGCTATATTCCACAAGGATTTAATAATAATTTACATTTTATTTAAACTAAGTCAGTTTTGGCATTTTATTCAGAGGGCGCTGTTCGTTAAGATTTGTATTTTAAGTCGAGAGACTTCTCCGTATAATATTTATTTGAATATATTATGTATGTTTACACAAGTCATATAAAATACAACTTTTACTTTTAAAGTAGTACCGAGTAGTTCAGCTAGTCTCCGTTAGATGGCGCTACGTTTAAGTGTGGAGTGTGTGTAAAGAGGATAAAACTTTTTGTAAAAATAGTAGAGTAAAGACTAAGCAATAGATACAAATAAACGGGTTCATTGTCCTTGGATTCATTAGGATTGAAAAGACTGAAGACAAGTTTGACACACTGTTAAAAAATCATGTAAAAAATTATATTCGGTTTTGAATTTGAAATAAAAAAAAACTGGGCAGAAACTTTTGTGTTGGTCGGCCGGTTCTGATTATTTTTATTACAAGGAATAATAGTGTATAACAGTAATATACTAAATACTTATAATATACGAGCAATAAAAATTGCCCGACCGTTCCTGCCTATTATTCAATTCAATTTAAAGGCCTAAACTACGACAGCAGATTTCTCGGCTATTAGGTATAACCAATACATAATTAGATTTGTGTTACGCTGTACAGGTTATTACGTAATAGCGCCAACAATGTGTGTACTACAATGGGTAAATGCGTCTTGAATCTGTGATAGGAATGGGACACTTGATTATCCATTATTCATTAACTGTAGAATAATGTAGAGGCCTAATATTGACGTGTTTTGTGCCAAGAAATTACTAGGCATGTCCTCTTTTTTTACGACTTCAAAAAAAAAACATATTTTTTTTTTTATGTTTAATACCTCAGAACTCCTTTAGTAATGAAAAGATGTAAAAATCCTTTTTTATTTAGGAAACCAAACGTACGTATACCCACGTACTCGGTTTGGTCCCTCGGTTTGAAAATATAGTACTTCAAGTGTGGAAAATTGAAGAGTACCTAAAGATTAAGTTCAATACAATTGTTTTTTAACTTTTTTATATCTCTTTATATTAAAGTAGTTATTAATAGGTATATAATAGAGGACAATCAAAGATGGTAAAAAAGAAAGGGAATTGACTAATGTAGAGTAGAATAGAAAAAAACCAACACATTCCGTCGATGCTAAATATTTTTTGAATAAAAAAAGGCTAGATGATTAAAATGAAAATAACGTTCACGCAACATTTACAGCTAACAAATGTAACCTCCGATAGCTACATTTTAAATGTTTATAAACGACTTGATATTTAACATATAAGTGTTTTTAATACTGTAAAGCCAATGCTTTTTGTTTTTCTTGTAAACGTTGTTGTCTTTAGGTATTTTTATCATTCGTGATTTTCATTGTATCGAACTATCATAAAAAATATCACCAATGATGATAGGTGCGTAATTTTTTAAATATTTATTCGCTTTCTTTATCCAACATATTTCTTAGAAACTAATATTTTACGAAATAGAACCTAGATGGCGCTCTTTTTACAAAAAATCAAATCGTGTTTATCTTTTTTCTTGTCATGTTATTTGTTATACAAAAATTATTCTTTACTATTTTTTGTTTATTTTGTATATTCCAAAAGTCGCTATTTTACTTTTATAGGCTTATAGAATGTGTATATTTTAAGCAGAATTATATGATAGATGAAGAAATAATGAAAGTACTTACTCTGGACTCTGTCTAAAGTGGTCTACCGCAAACTGCAGCAGTGGGTGTCTGCCGTCATGCTGTGGCGTCGACTGGTCTCTCCGCTCATCTCTCATTTCCCTTTCTCTATCCCGGTCCCGCTCGCGTTCCCTATCCCGAGGCATAGGTGATGAAGTCTGCGCTCTCCTTTCCATGTGATCAGTTTCTTCTCTCGATTCTCTGGACTCTCGCAATTCGCGAAGTTCTCTAGAATCTCTCGTTTCTCTCGAATCTCTATTTTCTCTGGAATCTCTGTGTTCTCTGGAATCTCTGTGTTCTCTGGAGTCTCTATGGTCTCTAGAATCTCTTTGTTCTCTAGAATCTCTGTTTTCTCTAACTTCTCGAGAATCTCGAGAACCTCGAGAATCTCTAGTATCTCTAGACTCTCTCGTCTCCCTGTTATCTCGCTCCGAGACTCGTTCTTTCGATACTCCATTTGTAGTTGGCTTTGGTGGAACCTGAAACAATCAAGGGGATTCATTATATATAAATATTTAATGTGTATATCCAAAATCATTTTTATGTACTTGTACATAGTAAAGTACCTAATATGTAAAAAAATGTATTTTGGTACACAGTTTCATGCCACGGTGTTCAAGTAGGTAAAATGTAAAAAATAACGGAGCGCTTAATTATGTACTGTTTTTTGTGAAATGCCTAGCTTACTTTTATATGTCTTTTAATTACACCATTAGCAGGGCTTACATAAATTACATAACCAGGTGAATATAAGTATGTTACGAGGTCGGGTACGCTTGGCTGTGATTACCAGTGACTGTTTAAGAGGTCACCTCACCGCTTCCTACTGCGCTGAGTGTTTTGGGTACGATTCCCCACATGGGATAACACTTTGTGTGATCCACAAATCGTTGTTCTGTATCTGGGTATTCTTTGTGTTCGTTTCATGTATTTTTGTGAAGTCCCCCGCGACACATTATATATTCCTAATGCGGGAGTTGTCTTTTATAAGAAAAACAAAAAAAGATTTAAAAAAAACAGTTGGTCGGGGTTCATCATAATTCACTTTTTAAATTAATAATTCCAATGATCTAAGGTCATTTATTTATGAAATAGGGGGCAAACGAGCAGACGGGCCACCTGATGGAAAGCGACTACCGCCGCCCATGAACGCCGCAGCCGATAACTTGTTCTACAGATTGGTAGTACAGAGTAGGTACAGGTACAGAGGCAAAAAGTGTCTTGAAAAGCGCACAGTGGTGGAGCGCCAATTATCCAAGTGGTGGGGATGAAAATTTTGCCGTGTGGAACGTGTGAAACGTATATATATTTTCTGTTTATATTCCTGGGACCACCCAATAGGAGACGATGGGCCATCGTCACTCAAGCATACTGTTTCTCAACGAAGTGGAAAAAAAATCGAATACAACAACAAGTTCTTACTTATTGAACCTTGCGAAATGCGGTCTTTCGGCAACCAATAAATCCTCCATACTTCATTAATTTTTGCGATCACGAATAAACTTTGTAAATTATCGCAATAACATTTTCGAGAGATTATTAAGAACGAAGAATGTTGAGATACGGTGCTAAGTACTGCGTCGGCACATCGTTCGCAGCCAGGAAAGCGTGAATGTCCGCTGGTCGGCGCGTGCGCACGATGCTAGTTGAACATATCATTTTTATTGGAAGCAGTTGTATGTACAATTTTGCGTTGATGAAAATAAAGATTAAAAAAGAAAGTGGATTTCTTTAAAAATGCCCTCCAGTTAGCAGTAGACATTCCAAACCTGAAAATTATGATAGAATTTGCGTACAGGAAATGCTGTTTAATTTTTTGTTATGTTTTGTATTGTCATCGTGAATTAAAATATTCAATTGATACCACTATAATACTTTAGGGGGTAACAAAAAAAATATATCTGCGCAATGACAGTATTTAGGTGAAACTAGTAGTAACAGCTAGTTAACAATATTTTCTATTTAAATTAATGCAAAAAAAAATATATCTTTATTCGACTTTTTGCTTGAATAGTAGCAGTGTTAGTAGTATTTTTGCAATGCTAGTACTAAGACTGCTTTGCTTTGCAAGCATTGCTTCCAAAATCTTTCAAGCAAAATTACTTTTACATGAAATAAGAGGATCATTCAAACTTGTGATCAAATATTATTCAGTTTCGATATGCTTTATCAAATCGCCAACTGTAATACACCAGAACAATAAAATTATCTTATTCTGAAGGGAGCCAACAAGTATAGAACAATACAAATTTATAGATTTAAGCTACCTTTGGTTTTCGTTTCAATGTTTTTCTGCCGAGCGTTCTTATAACATCATAAAAACTCTCCATTTTAAAACTATTTCCAAATCACTAACACACAAAACACAATACAGTTATTGAAGTATTACTGGATATTAACATTAGTCTTCGAAATATGAACTGCACGAATCGATGTTGCCACTTTCACGACACAAAAACTGACTATAGAATTTCTATTGTCTTTTTTTTCAATAGTGCAATTTCCGCACTGCATTCGCGAAGTGCAGCGGCGGTATGTGCGCGCCGCCAGCGATCGGTGCCGCCACCATCTTCATAAATATTGATGCAATCTATTATAAACTCTTCGCTCCGATTAATCGGTAATTTCTTTCGTAATTTGAATTCTCTCTAATATAGCGGCAAAACTTGTGTGGCAGCCATGAGTGTTGCCAGACTTTTAGATGAAATTAAAATGTACGGCAGTTTTTTACAACTTAGTGATAATTAGTGTCTTATACAATGTGTCTCGGTTCGGACTGTACAAACTTTAGGGGGTGATAGTTTGCTCTATTTTATCACTAAAATCATTCTACAGGTGGGGTCTAAACCCAACGGCCTCTGAATGGCAGCCATTTTTGTATTTTGGTTGACTTTTTCGTAGCGTCCATACTAAAAGTTATGTAACTTTGGAGTTTAATGTCCGATTATTGTAAAACAAAAACTTCCCATAACGGAAAAGTATTAGCAATCAGATAAATAACTCAAATAATTTTAATAATTGCTGTATCATATTAAAATGAATGCTAAAAGATCAACTTTACGTCAAAATTAACATTGTTTTTTAGTATTTCAAGGCTATTACAAAAAATACCCCTGTGAACTATCTCTTATTATGCATGTGTCTCACAGATGGTAAGCTTACCTAAATAATGATACCAAAAACTCGATCCTATGACAACTGGTGTAAGAGATATTGTTGCTCGAACGCAACAATTGTCTGCACGGATGGCGTAGTGGTTTAAGCGGTCACCTCGCCGCTTCCTACTACGCCGAGTGTTGTGGGTTCAAACCCCACATGGGACGACACTTTGTGTGATCCACAAATTGTTGTTCTGAGTCTGGGTGTTCTTTGTGTCCGTTTCATGTATGTTTGTCAAGTCCCCCGCGACACAGGAATGTATTCCTAATGCGGGAGTTGCCATGAATCAACTTATGCCTATATGACTTGAGTGATCAGACCTAAATGCTGCAGGTATTGCATTAATTCTCCATAATAAGACACACAAGATTCGGACTCTTCATCATCACAGTATTGACATCGAATCCTGACGCAGTAGGCGCGAATCTCAAACGGTTATAAGTACTAAGCGTTTTAACCCTTTAAGGCTGCTACGATTTTTTTCACACTTAAATTTATGCCTGTACCTTTTTCGTTTTTAACTCGGCACTTTGACATTCCGCGTATTCTCGTAAGTCGTGTGCGGCAGCACTGGTAGATAGATAGATTGATACACCCGGCGTTTTTAGCCTTTCTAGTCTTAGCAATAGACAAATTCATTGCATCTTAAAGGCCTAAAATAAACTACAAAATCACGTCCGCTTTTCCGCTAGAAATGAGCAATGAGCTATGATGATAACCCCTTACCTGTATCTCTGTATTATCCTTCACCGTTGTGGACATTTTGTCAGCGCACATAGTCCGTTATAAAGTGAATTTTTAAGCTGTTCTAACAGGTCCAACAGTTATGGTCCTTGTAACATTTCCATTACTTTCACTTCTAACAGCAGAAACGTTTCGCACTATAGCTTCAATCCTGGACAAAACATCCGAGTAATAACTTGCAGGCTATGGTGCCCGATGCACTCAACATCACATCAACAATTATGTTCAGTATGCCCTAGATTAGATTCCCGCAACTAGATTCAACAAGTCAGTCTGAAAATTAACGCGTTTACTGCCCACGCTCAATAGCGATAAACAACTAATAGCAACGTTTTTGTAACACTACGTTGTTCTCTTCAATCTTATTCAATATGGTTTAAGTGGGAAAGAGACAACGTTAAAAGTACACTTAATTTATTATGAAAATGGGGAAAGGCCATAACGGTGTTCAACCTCGCTGATTTCATTGATGGTTTAAATTAATTTAAATATACAAACAAAGTTCTTTCTATTCTTTCTTTTTTAAAGAGTTTTAATTAAGATATTTTATTTATATAGTTAAATTAAAGTTTTTTAGTAGGTACTAAGTTCTCTAAGGGCTTATGCGCCTAACAGCCAAAAACCACCTTATAAAAATTCGGACACCTCAAATTTCATATCCAATCAAATTGATGTACTATTATTATTTTTTTGTTATTTTTATATTTATTTTATGATAAATTAATTATATTTCTACATACATAATAATATGAAAAATAACAAAGACACAAATGTCAACGTTTGGAACTATTGTGTGCCATTTTCATTCAATTTATTTGAATAGCGAACACAAACTTCTCATGACGTAAGATATTATTCCTCCAATCGGTAAAACTTTCTATTTAAATAATAATTTATTGTGATTTAACACCAAAATCAATATTTAATTTAGTACAGTTTATGGCACTAAATCTAAACTAAACGGTATTAGTTACTACTGCTCATTTTCATTACTAGTTTGTATACCAGCGACATCTATGGGCCGTAGTCTGTAATAATGAATAAAGCAAGTGCTTGGCGCAACGGTAAGAGGGCAGTGTGCTACTATTTTTTTTTAACGTAACAGTATGCCTGTGAATTTATGTACTTATGTGAAAAAGGTGAAAATGTAAGCCTTTTTTGAGTTATTGTAGTTGTAGATCGACTAAAGTATATACACAATTTATATGAATTTGCTGTATTACAACATTAACAATAAAAAAACGAACGGCGGTCTAATACATACATACGAGAAAAAAATGTCACATTTATATATTGATCTAAATACTAGCTGTACCCTGTCACGTTTAGCTGTAGTGATGAGAAACGAGGAAGCAAACAAAATTATATAAAAATAATCTTTGAAGCGGTGCAGAACTTTGGGAGTTTTCGAAACGTATACATACCTACATATAATAAATTTCTAATTATTTCGTACAACTTAGTTAAATATTGTTTCAGTTAAATTTATAAATCCCATTTTAAGTAAATAGTTACAAGAGTAAGGTGTACAGCAAATTTGATACGTTCGAATTTTAAATTAAACACATCTGTGCATGCAAGCCAGTTACTTTAAGAGAAAATAAAAATGTGCACATAACCTCTTTCTCTTTCTTTAACTTTTTAAAAGTCATACCCATAAATAATAACTTACAACTTTATATACAACGTTTTATTAACGTGTATAACTTGCATGTAAACAAAATGATTATGTAATTCGTTGTGTAATAATAATAAATGTCTGTAATTTATTATTGTAGTTATTCTATAAGAGGCTTTTATATTTCAGTAAAGAAATTACCTACAGTACGTAAATACGTGATTATTACACTATATTCGTGGATCATAACTTCCATAACACATTATTACGTTTTAAGTACATAGAATCATAGTGTAGCGTTGCAAGAGGTAGGTATTATAGCATTATTTGTTACGTACAAAGATTATGTATGATATACATACTCGTAGTTAACCGTTGGCATAACGTTCTTGTCTTAAACTTCTGTTGTTTTTGTTTATAAATCGAACCTCAAACCGTATAAAAAAACTTTCAATACCTAAAATGCTAGACATACATATGAGAAACATACATATTTATATTATAGACAAACCTTAGACATTTACCGTAAAGGTTAAACTGTAGATCATACTTAGGGGACATACAAACATGAAGTGAGCATAAACTGAAGTAAAAAATAAATTTTTCAATCACGTATTTTTAAAAAACATCGTTACATAATGATGAACGATCTTGGGCTCTACCATAATACGTTATAATAACAATAAACTCCACAATATTTCCCAAGTCTTGCAAGTCGCATCGCACTCCTTCAATGGCAAAAATTAAAGGATCTGAATGTTGATCAATTTTTTATTTATATTTATATATATACTACACACAAAAAACTTACAGGTTACATCTTTAAACATCCATATTAATATGTCTTAAAATCAAAAGAATTAAGCATCTGTAGTCGAACTAGGCGAAGCCTGTATTTCGACTATCAGCGCCAACTCCCCAATGCACATTAAGCCTTACTATTTTATATTGTATGTATGCTATGCAATATAAAAATCAATCTAGTCTGTGCATATGCCTGAGTATAATGTGTTCTTTAGCGTGTATGTGGTTGTGTGTGTGCGTGTGTGTTAGTGTGAATTTGTTAAATAACAACACTTGGTAAAGATTGTGTCAGTACTGGACATCTCTATTTCTTTGATAAAGACATCGTACAGCAATATTATGACACAAGAACAATCTCCTATTTTTAAATGCGATTGCCAACTCATTCTATTTAATAAAGAAAAAAATGAATCTAATAACATTAGCTATTTTATTTGTTAACTTACAACTTTTTTTGCTGTAGAAGAACTGCGAAATTGGCGAGATTTTGGTGTTTTTTATTATATTTCTTTGTTATACTTATGTATTTTTTGAGTTTACAAACAGTAACTACAGCAACCTTATAAATAAATACACAATTTACACAAGTTATTATCTGTAGTACCAACAGCGTTAACTACAGATTACTTATAAAATACAATATTTAATACTTCAGTTGAGATAGGTATCATAAACTAAGCAGCCAATTAGCAGTAATATTAACTTATACTAACTAACATGCCCTAAGTTAAATGATTTAAGATTTATTCAAGATTCTTTTAAGATATTATGTACCAATTCATAAAAATTGACACACAGAAAGAAACATTCCACACTAATTTTGAATCTAATCCCTTAGTTGAGTGCTAATATAGTAATGCTAGTAAAATATACATTTAAAGAAATATATGGAAAATCTCACTGATATAACGATCAAGAGTTTTAGTTCGATAATAAACCTGTGCTTGGAACGACAATATAAAGTGATACATCAAGATATCTAGACGAAAGACTTAGACATATAGA